AAATTTGTGACACCCCCCACATGCCAGAAACACCCCTTCCAAGGGGTGAATTTTCGGAAAAAATTACCAGTCACGGTGTTTCGCGAACTAAGTCATCTTATATGTTCTCCAAATTAATTTTAATTTTTGAACAAAAAGTATTAAGATCTTTCTGATACTCGTATTTTTTTAGTCTTTATTTAAAGTGATTCAGAAGTTGATTGGGCCGAAACAACAACAGAATTTGACGAGGATGAAGAAATTTCTCCATGCAAAATACCAAGACTAGATTTGAATACAACTGAATAGTGATATCTTGTAAGAAGTTTAATACTTGTCATATTTCATTTTTAGTTTTTGTATTTTATATTTCATTTTTCACCAAAATCCACCGTTTGGGAGGGTTGTTTCGGGCATGTGGGGGTGTCACACAAATTTTCCAGTCTCGACACCCCGATTTTCGAAATCAGTGACCCAAAAAACATACAGTATGGTTCAAATGAAAGGAATAAATTCATTATAATGGAAGTAGGTGGTTTTTCGAAAAAATGCTCGGACAGGTCAATTTTGTTTACTAAAAGCGCAATTTTTTAAATAGAATTTAATTTTCCCCCACTTCCCATTTTTGGGCAGTGACGTCATTGACAATTTTTTTAAATAGTAACCCCAATTTTTTTTTCTTGATTTTGATAGATCTTGCAATTTCCTACTCGGAAACATAATATTTGAAATATCTGACATAACAATTTTTTTTGAATAAAAGTCATTTAAAGATCAGATACATAAATTTTATTTTATTTTGAAACACAATAAATGAATAAAAGATTATTTGTAATTAAGTGCTTCATCTAAAAAAATAATAATAATAAAAAGAATTTAATGACAATTTCACAAATTCTTTTTTATTATTATTATTAATTATTTTGTTAGATTAAGCACTTAATTACAAATAATTATCTTTTATTCATTTATTGTGTTCTCAAAATAAAATAAAATTTATGTGTCTGATCTTTAAATGTCTTTTATTCAAAAAAAATTGTTATGTAAGATATTTCAAATATTATGTTTCCGAGTAGGAAATTGCAAGATCTATCAAAATCAAGAAAAAGAAATTGGGGTTACTATTTAAAAAAATTGTCAATGACGTCACTGCCCAAAAATGTGAAGTGGGGGAAAATTGAATTCTATTTAAAAAATTGCGCTTTGAGTAAACAAAATTGACCTGTCCGAGCATTTTTTCGAAAAACCAACTACTTCCATTATAATGAATTTATTCCTTTCATTTGAACCATACTGTATGAGATGAGTTAGTTTGCAAAACAGCAAGTACAATCAGAAACACCCCTACTTAGGGGTATTCTTTGCAATTTTAGGGGTGGCTCAACCATTACTGCAAGTTTTAACCCCCATTTCCGTAATCAGCGCCCCAAAAAACATATAAGATTGCTGAGTTTGCAAAACAACAAGTACAGTCGAAAAACACCCCTAGTTAGGGGTGTTTTTTACAATTTTAGGGGTGATCCAACCATTGCTGCCAGTTTTAACCCTCGTTTTCGTAAACAACGCCCCAAAATACGTAGGGGACCAGTGGTCTCGTCAAGTGCGGCGTTTCTCGACCTTTTACCGTTATTTTAAATGGACACTATCATGTTTAAAAAAAAATTCTTCGCTAAAATAATATAATAATACTCTCCCTAATTCACCCCCTTACGAGTTAATTTCAACCCCTGAAGTCGACTGAACGACTTGTGTAGGGGAAGGGACGGCTATTATTATTATTTGCCGTGGCGCTCTGGGGCGACTTAATGATGATTGATGGTGCCATTTGACTTACAGGTAAGGAAAACCCGGAAAACCTCACCCACCATCATCGAGACGATAATGTATGGCGATTTTATAATCTGCATGTCATATCAATAGAAATTGAATTTCTATTAATACGGCACACATCAAATCTGATCTAGTCTGGGATTCTGAACCGGTTAACGTCAGTCGTCAACGTTTTAGATAAACGAGCTTATATTTTGTGTATTTAAAAGGTATTTAACAATAAACAAACTGTAAAAATTCTAAAATTGAGGAAGATAGGCAATTTTTCTTTTATATAACAAATTCAAATAGAATTTAGAGACATTTCAACGAAACCACAGACTCAATAATTAATTATTATAAAAATATGAACGCACAAAATAAAACGCAGCTACCAAAAATTCCAAAACAAAACGGCATCACGGAACGCTATGGACGAAAACTTAAAATTTAAAATGTCAACTGTCACTATCAACCGTTTGTTCACTACCTCACGAGGTCGGGAACAGCTATTCGATTCTGATTGACGTTTTCGGGACGTGATGTCCCGAGTTTACAATTTGAGCGATTCTAATTCCAACTTACGTTCCAGATGTCTCGAGTATAGTTGTCAGATTCACTCGGGACCTAAAGAGGTAGCGTAACGTGAGTGAAATTAGTAAAAGTATGGTTAAGAAATGCTTTATTTTGATATTTTTGTGTTGAAATTAAAAAAATGAGTTTTTTAAATAATCCAGAACATTTATCTACAATTTTAAATATATTGTGTGAACACGAACATTTTGCAAGTGGCATATTTTTAATTATTCCTCATTGTATTTTTTTTTGTAGGAGTTATGTTTTATTTTAACCACATTATAAAAAAATTAGTAAACTCAAAAACAATATTTTTTCCTAATATTACAGAAGAAAACCAAATACAGCATACATTAATTTATTTAGGAAATATAATTTATTATTTGTATAATTTTTTTTTTAATATACTAAATATATACAGAATAGGCTCAATTTATAATACAAACAGTTATACAATAATATAAATAAGAAATGTTTAAGTAATTGAGTGTAGAGGAATGACGTATGACAGTTAATATCATAAAAATATGTCCTCCTTCAAACTAAAATCGATCTGTCCGAGCGTTTTTTTAACATCCATGATACTAATACCCAAAACCCCTATCAAGTTTTCGTTGGGTCACCTTGTATAAAGACTATTTATAATTAAGAAAATTAGCTCATAAATAATAATCTTTAAACAAAATATAAATTAAATGAATCGATCCCATATTATTATAGAGAAATACTAAATAAATAGTTTTGAAAAAACTATTAAAACCAGATGTGAAGTTTGAAACGAATAAATTTGTAATGAAATTGATATTTTGGTATTTGATTGTATGTTACTCTTCCTGAAAAAGCATTCGCCATAAAACAAGAAATAGTAAACAGTTTATAATAATAACTTTTATTTGCTACTTTATAACATGTACCAATGACCAAGTACGGTTCTGTTTATTTTCAAATAAACAAATATGGTCGTCGATGTAATCTTTAAAAATTAAATAACTCACCGAAATAAATGTAAGTTTCCTTTATCACCGTCACACTTCGCACTTTTATTATAAATAAAGCTTTTTACAACACATCTTGGCATTTTCAACGGTAATTTCCAAAATTTAAGTCACTAAAATACCAAATTAATTCTCGTTGACACATTAAATTTGGACGAACAACGCTCTAACATGTGATGTCCTCAACTGTGATTGGTGGGTGTAAATAATTTCGAAGTGGGATTATGCGCAGTGTCTTATGTTCCATCCAAGGTTTGTATAATCTAAGGTTGAGATATCCAATGTTGATTAGTTTGATATAGACGCAAGTATTTAGGGACGAGAATTTGTAAATGGACTTCAGTTTGTGTAGTTACAATAACTTCAAAAATAGCATAGATATGGGCGTTTAAAGAAAACCACAAAAACTGTTGACAAAAACGGTTATAAGTATACTAAGTACATACGTTTTTTAAATTATTAAACCTACATAATAATTTACAAAGCAAGATGTTAAACCTATGCAGTAAAACTGTTAGCTCCTTAGACTGGTTGTCATTGATAAGTTGACAGATGTTTTTAATTAGGCATTCCAACGACCTGTCCAAATGGCTACCAGTGGGTAATGACAGTTTAGATATGGCAACCCTGTTGTCATGTTGTCATTAACAGGGTCAATGATACATATATAGTTATATAGATTGCTCAAAGCTGGTCGTTTACGAGCGGCCATATTGCCTGGCAAATATATATTAATTTGAATCGGTTTAGCAAAAATGTGTTTTAAAACCAATTTTTAGCCTTTAGATATTTAAAAAAAAATAATTGCTTACATTTTTACTTCAAGGCATAAGCTTATGTTTATTTTGAAAAATATGGATGGTCAATCTATGTAACTATCTATTTCATTGACCTTGTCAAATCACCAGGCCTACAGGGTTGCCATAATTTTGCCATATCATAACCCGTCAGAACCCACTGGTAGCCATTCAGTTTGGAATGCCTAATTCTGACGTTAGTTTTAGTTTTTGAGTTTTGATTAAATATAATTTGAGACAAATATACAATTCAAAAGTTTATCCCAGTGTATAAATATAATTTAGCTAAGAGGCTAAACCTACATAATCATTTAGAATTTTAAACAATTATACTAACCTTGGGCCTACGAAATTGATCACAGAAAATATTTTAAACAAGAAAAGAACTTTATCCGGATCACAAATTCTAATATTGGCGAGTAATCGGCACATTTGGATATTCCACGTGTAGCGCAGGTCATTCTCTCGATACTTCAATATGTGCGTTTACTCCCACTTGATACTAGCAACAGCGTAAAACACGCATGACAGGCAGAAATTAAATTAATCTAGGGAGATACTATATAGAAACTAATTCTTCTAATTTAAAGTACCTTTTTGTTAATTATGATTATAGAAGAAAATACTTTTAATAAAAGTTGATTGTGATATCATTTCTCTATAATTTTTGTCCTATACATGATTTCTCTAAAATGGACCATAATATAGAAATTTGAATTTTCAGTATTTTCGTTTCGAATAATAATTATCCTTAATTCATATTCTAAATAATTTTTGATTAGATGGGCCAGTCATATTTCTGAAACATCATATTTTGTTTATTATCGTAGTTTAATAAAAATCTCTTCTAAATAAATGTTTTATGCTTAAAATGTATTTTTACAATTTATTCTAAATGTAAAAAAATAAAAAAAACATATTGATTAATTAACAAACTAATCTATATGAAATGTATCGTCCTGCTGTTTCAGATGACCGAATGATTTTTACTACCTGCAAGAAAAAACAAACATTTTTTATTTTCTATAAATAAAAACTAAGCAATAGATATTCAAATATTAAAAAAAAAATTATACTTTTACATGAACGAAGTTATGTTTAGAATTTTGAACAATATATTCATTTTTAGAATTCAATATTCTATTTTTTCTAAAATTTATTTTATTTGAGAAAAAAGGAACAAGTTCTGAATAGAAATAATTTTTTGAATATTGAATGTAAAACATTTTAATTCCAAAGACAAATTACTTCAAATATAAAGCAGGACTAAAATAAACTTCATATTTCCAAGCAATAGATAATAAGTTAAATAATTTAATAGTTATTATTTATTGAAGAGATATAATTTCTTGAATGGAGTGAAACATTTTAAAATAATTTAATTTTATAAGAAAAACTATACTCTCTAAATATAATAATAAAAACCACAGATTACCCAGATGTAAAATCCAGGAAAAGATCAAAGGATTTTAAAATGAGATTTCTATGACCTTAAACTTTAAATGGGTATGGCATAGGTGTTGCTTATTTTTACTTATTTTCAATCATCTTTACTAAATATGACTTTCTCCTAAACATACGTTTGGATGTCACAAAATTTAATACTCAAAAAATTAGAAATTGACAACTGGTTTCATTATCAGGCCATGGTAAAGGAACAATCAAAATGAGGGGTACAAAGTTATGGGCATAATGTCATCAATTAATACAAGGTTGGTACCATTAAAGGCAAAGTCAGCACACAGGTATGTTGTAAACAAATTATTAAAAGTAAAAGTTTATTATACTTTATAATGGATATAAATTAAAGAAAATCGTATTTCATTAAAAAATGTTATAATTAAATGAAATGTTATACTTCTCCCTACAACAATCCAAAATTTGTATATTTTCTAGTAAATAAATAAATAAAACAAACTTACTTGTCCTCTTTTAAGACCAAAATACCTCGCTACAGGATCACCAGCTTGAATTCTCATCAACATATTTTCTTTCAATTTACTGAAAAAATCATTTAAGGAAAATAGAAAAATAAGATTGTTTTTATTAGAATGTCTCATAAAATGTCATTTTTCAGACAGATTGGAAATAAGAACTTTTAAAAATACTTCAAATGAATAGCTGAAAAATACTTTTACAACTCAGGCCACAACAGTAAAGCAGATCTGCTATCTTAACGCTTTGTCGATATTTTTTTTTGCTATTGTAAAATAGTAGTCCATAATCCACCTGTACATCAAATTTAAAAAGAAGCATTTTTAATTGAATAACAGAAAACTAAATAAACTATAATTAAATTGATTTGACATCAACACAGATATTTTTGAAAAACTCAACTTTTTATCCTTATAACATAAACTACTATTATTTTCAACATTAAATGTTATAACTATTTTTTTAAAGGATACTATCTAGCCAACAATTCCTGTTTCTCTTCCGGTGTCATAACAACATGTTCTGGCACCAATTCGTGTTCCGTAATATTAATAAGCAATTCTGATTCCAAAAATTGTTCTAAAATATACTTCGGCGCCATATCTACCAGAGATTGTTTGGCAGAAGGAGTCATACCTACAAATTTAATATTTAAATATGATACTTTTGATCAAGTAAGCAATTTGTGTACCTGCTTGAACGACTATAATGGCTCTGTGAATGTTTTCTTCCTGCATACGAGAACAATACGTTTTTATAGTTTTAATACCGATTTTTGGTTCTTCTGGAAAAAATACGAAAAGCTGGTCGGTAGGATCATCGTTATGAGCCACTAATACGATCAAATCACTTCTGCCCGGTCTCTTTTCACTAAAATATGAATACTTTACTATGAAATTTATTAGTATAAGAATTACGTTTACAGTACCTAGGTTTGTCTCCAAACTGTTCTTTAAATTGTTCTAATGTCTGGTCCAATTCATCCTGCGTTACTAAATATCCCCTATCGTGGCATAACTAGAAAATATTTGCTATAATATATTATCCCTAGAAATTAAGAAAAAGTGAGGTTAATCTTACTTGCATGACGGTTTTTCGTATTCTCCATAGTTTATAAGTTTCTGCTTCATCATCCATGGTTTAAGATTTTAATTTTAACGATGTGAATTGGCTGATTTCGTAGTTAAATTAATTCGAAATTTAAAATCTATTCTACAATTTACAACATAACAACAAATATGATTATATCGCCGTTTTCGTTAATATAATAACAGACTCTAGTGAGTTTCCAAGAGCGAGTTCAAACATAATCGTGATAACAATCAATATTTTTAATTCTCTCGTCTTATGGTGAAAACTTAGTAACTTCGCAGTAATAATTCTTCATCCATGCTTCAAAGTTGCTAGTTTTTAAATTGTTTATAAAATGCGTTTTCTTCTATATATTTAGATTTCATTTCATAGTTTTCGATCCATTTCGTCATGCATCGTTTGAACTCGTTTGTTTTGAATAAAATAATTTATAACATCGCAATTTTCCTCGAAATTCTTATAAATTAGCGTTATCTGTTACAAAAAACAAAATAATTTAATAGATTCAAACAAAACGACGGCTTGTTTGTTATACATTTGCTCGCACCGGAGAATTTATTAGTCAATTAATCCGTCGACGGATATCTATTCACTTCCTCTTCTTTTTATTTGACCCTCTTACGGTATGATTATTTCAATCGGGCCTATTACTATAAAGGCAATCTTTACCTGCCTTTTACTGTTATGTACATACCAGTCTTCTTCAATTAATTTCAACCTTTTACCTTGTGAACTCAAATTTTAATAAAAAATGTCTAAAATAAAAAATAAGAATGTTCCTTCTAATTTTATTGCTCTTTTTAAGAGAGATGGGTACAACAAAATACATTTTATTGTCAAAAATTGATAAAAAATTCGCGCATGTACAATCAAAATTTATTAGTTATATACGAGGCGTGCTCAAAAACTTAAATTTAGTTCAAGAGTAAAAGTACCTTTATTTTGGACCTTGTTAAAAATTATTCAAAGCTCTAAATAACTTTTAATAATAAATATATATATATAGGTACTTTACTTCTAATTGATTTTTATTATACACGTACATAACTGATACATTTTTCATTTTAGATCATGCAGTTGTATCAAGAATTTTTTTTTGAAAGTATAAAAACATTTTCAGACTTTTGACAGATAGTATATTTAAAATTTCAATTCGATAAATAATAAAAATTCCGATTTTATTAATAATATATTTAGGTCTTAGGAAAAAATAAAAACACTTTATTAACTTAGAAAAAACATCTATTCAGTTTATTCGTCTGGTACTTCTATTGAACCATCATTGACTTCGTCTATAACGTCATGAGGTGCTTTTCCATCGATGGTGCAACCTACAGATTGTGCGGTACCCAATACTTCCTTGACACAACCAGAAAGTTGTTTGGCCATAGACCGGGGCCTCATTTGCTTTGCAATTGTGATTATTTCATCAAAGGTAATGTTGCCACTGTGTTTAACTTAAAGAAGAAAAAAAAAGTTTTCTTTAAAAATTCCTATTATTGAATAATAATTATTATTAAATAAATAAATTAATAAAAAAATGATTTTCCTATAAAGTTATCAAAAATATTGAGTACATAAAGCGTTTAAAATATGAATTAAAGACAATAAAAAATATTTTTTCCATATTTTCATTGCCAATGAAAATAATAAAAAATTCAAAATTTCTTTCTTAAAATTTTTCCTTACAGTTCATTTTAGAAAAATCACTTATGGGAAAAAAATTATAGAAAATACACGCGTAAACAAGTTTTAAATAAATGTTATATGAATTCAAAAAAATAAGTATTTTAAAATTTTTTTTTGGATATACAGGTTGTTACATTTTGCTTGGCAAATAAAAATGTATTATTTAATTGTATTTTATTTGTTTTAGAATGGTTTATGTTGCATATAGTGTGTTAAAATCCGAGGTTATGATTTTCTTCTAATAAGATGCACATCGTTTGCCTTTGCTTTTTAATTTATTTACTTACATATAAAAAAAAGTATAAGTGTTCAAATATACCTATTCAAAAAACATCAAATTACATGAACTTAGTAAATACTCACTGTTCTTTTGCTTCTTTCTATCACGTGGTGGTTCTTTTAAAGCCTTAATAATAAGAGAGGCGGCTGATGGTACGACAGAAATTGTAGCCTGACGATTTTGGATTTTCAATTGAACGGTTATTTTCAAACCTTTCCAGTCGGCGGTTCCTTTAGCGATATCGTCACCAACTTTCTTTGGAGACTACAACAAAAAACATACACTCACAGAAACGTCGTTTAAATTTAATAATAAAAACTTACCAACCCTAGTGGACCAATTTTAGGGGCCAAAGATGAAGTAGCGCCCACTTCTCCTCCTACACATCTTAAGTAAACTGAAAATAAAACATATAAAACGTAAAAATATTTTCTGTAACACCAAATATAGGTTATGATTACATATTTCGTTTATTTTGAATTTGCAATGGACCTACCGTATTTTACTTCTGTGGGATCGAATTTAGGTGGCATTTTTAATTATATATTATGGATATTTTATAAAAATAAGGCGAATCTACGCCGATGAATGTAGATTTTTGCCTATGTGAAAAATTTTTCACAATGGAAAATATTAGAAAGACACTTGACAGTTGTCAAATGTCATTTAACTGATTTCTTCTTTTTTAAGTAGACTCGATAAATTTGAAAGATAGTTTAATCAATCTATTTTCTTTTCTACCTTCCTATTTTTATTGTTCAATGTAAGCCTTTTAATTGTTTTTTAATAATAATAAAAAAATATTAATTAATTATACAAATTATTATAAATTACTTAACACTATATTAATTAGAAAACAAATTGAGGTGGCCAATTGTGATTTAGGGCAAAGGCCATTACAGATTGAACAACGAAGTAGAGAAATATAATCTCAAAAAAACCATAGATAACAAAAAAAAGAGAAGAGAAGGTTTGAATAATGTACGGAAATTTACTTTATTTTTAGTTCATCAAAACGCGATTCGCGTGCTGCGATGACTAAATACAAAGCCATTTTATACCTATATAATAATTAAAAAAATGTGATCAAATAATTGGATAATTGTTACAAATTTATAAAGTTAATAAAGCTAATTTAATTATTATGAGGTGGTGTAAATCTGGCTCTGATAGTGATAATAAATTAGGTAATTGGTTATGTTTTATGTTGTCCTAAAAAATATGACAGGCAGATATTTTTGCGGAAAATTTAGGTGAGTAAAATTTAATTAATTTTGTTTTAGTTAGATTTAAGTAATTTTATAGCTATAAAAATATACTGAGGTTCTTAAGAATGTCATTGCTCATAATGCCTTCGTCAAATTCACATTCAAAAGTAAATATAATGTAATGTTTTGTTTACTTTTTCAAATAGGTATAACTTCAGCTAAAAGAAAGCTAGAATTTTTTAATGATAAAATTTAATGTGTCGAGGAACCTTTAATAAAGAAACCGAGTGTAAGAAATGGAAAGTGTGTACAGGTAATTTATGAACAGATATTGTAGGACCTCATCATAGATTTACAAATTTAAAGGAATATGATGAAAAAAGCGCGATTGATGTATACTCAAAAAGAAATTGTTAAGTTTTTAGGGTGCTATTCATGATTATCTTTATGAAATACTACCCAAATATGGACATGTGTAATTTTTGCGAACATGTTAATTTTGAATAGTTCACTTGCCAAGAGCATAGGTACATCATATGTTTTTTTGAAATTATTGAACATCTGTGTACCTTTTATTATAAAAAAATATAAGAATTTAAAAAATAATATATCTGTTAATTTTTAAGATACACCCCACTTTTTTGTTTTAGATACTTATCCCTGGGTATGAAGACTTTTGGAATGGGCATTACAACTAAGCTGAACTGAAATAAATGGGTAAAAGGATAATTGAGTCATTCAGTGTCAGTGCCAGAGTTGGCTAACTAACAAAATTTCAAAGCAACTTATCTTTGCATACTATTTTAAAATAATTTCTATAAATGCCAAAGTTGCATTTCCTAAAATTATCATGACAAAACTAAATAAACACTTATTTGACAAGTGACTATTTTCTCAAACTTTGATCTACATCAACTCTTAATCAATTATTGTTTAGGCAACTCTGGCACCAAATACTCAAAAATAAAAAATTATTTGGCTAAGCGGGTTGCAGGAACATTGATTAAAATTTAGTTGTCTGATAAACTTTGACAGAGATTAGACTAAATAATTTGAAGTTTTTGTAAATCAGCCATATTACATTCTTTCAATTTTACATAATATAATGCAACATAGTTAGCAAATACTAAAAATAAAAATTGTTCAGGGAAAATTGATTGACTTAGTAAGGAAAATTAATACAAAAATTTCACTATCTGCCCATATTTCTTGCACATTAATAAGTCAATAGTACTAAGGCTTTTTAAAACAATTCTGGTATTTATAGATATAGATATGAAAATTGTACCCAGTTTTTGTTAATATTGATATATTATTTATTTTATAATAAATTAGTGTGTGATTACAGTGCTTATATTGTGATTAAGCTGTTAAATGTATAATGTAATGACATAGTTAATAGAAATATAATTTATTCATCTTTGAGAATTATACACTATACAAAGACACTAGGTACATAATGTAAAATCCTATCAGACTAGTCAAAAAAGTGTTACGTAAAATACATTAAAAAATAAAATATATATAATAGACAATTCATGTTAAGATTAGTTTAAAAGTTCAAAAAATCTTCTATACTATAAAATACATTATTTACAAGAAAATCATTAAGATGTTTTCTTAAATCATTACGACTAATTTGATGATAACCTGTAGTATCTTCTAATATGTTACTGAACTTATTGTAACACTTAATCCCAATATATTTTGGTGAATGCTGGCTTATTTGTAGTCATGAAAAAGGTTGATGGCTGTTAAATTTTAATCTAGTATCATATGAGTGCAGGTCTTTATTTTTCTTAAATATATGCTCATACCTTCTTTTGAGAAACAAAGGCTCTTTCACAGTATGGTGAAGAACCCCAAAATATTAACCCATATTGTAGAGTCGAATGAACCAAACCCAAATAGCATAGTTTTAAATATCAAAAGATAGTGTCTCCCTTAAATTTTGGATGATATAACAAGTACTTAATTTTGAAGTTACCATTATTATATGAGCTTCCCAATTTAATTTGGGATCTAATATTATTCCTAAAATTTTTATGTCGTCAACGCTTTGAATAGTTTTTCCGTCAACGTGCAAGTAGGGTTCGTAATCTGGTAATATGTTTTTGGGTAGAAATTGCATGAAGTTTGTTTTTGTTACATTTAATGCCAAACCGTTATCTTTACTATACTGGTTAATCTCACGAGATGCCTCGTTGCTACTTTGAGTGACCTGTTCAATTTGATCATCTGCCATTACAATATTGGTATCATTGGCATATTGAACTATTTGATGAGAGCTTAAACAAACATTACTTATATCACTTATAAAAACTATAAAAAGAAGTGGGCCCAAAATTGAACCTTGGGGAACTCCTATTGTACATGGAAGAGGATACGATTTTAGACTATTTGTTACAATTACTTGAGTTCGATTTATTAAGTAAGACTGTATCCATTCATAAGGTTTCTCTCGTATTCCTAACCCATTCATCTCCAATAATAAAAGATGATCCACCATATCAAATGCACGGCTAAGGTCATAGAAGAGTCCTAAAATATGCTTTTTATCATTGAGTGCTTGATATATAAACTCTAGGCAAGCTGCAATTGCAGTAGATGTTGACTTATTTTTTCTAAATCCATTTTGAGTATCTGGCAACATATTAAAACTTTCAAAGGTAATGAGTGAGTCTAATAGAGTATGTTGACTCAAACATTTTAGTTATTTGACTAGATATACAGATTAAACGATAATTTTCTATATTAGATGCAGATTATTTTTATAAAGAGGAATTCCTTTAGATTCCTTCATATTTGGGAATAATCCCGAAACAAAGGATTCATTAATCAAATGTGATGTGGGTTCAGCAATACAATGAGCAACCGATAACAGAATTTTACCATTTCGTCAATACCTTCAGTGGGTTTAGAAGTAGTTGAAAAAAAAACTTTTATGATGTTTATCAATACTCATAGTATAGTTAGGTACAATATTATTTTTATTTACATTCATAAAATAGTCATTGATATAATTTACTTTTTCTAAGGGTGTTAATTTGTCATCATTTGTAAGTTTAATAGGATTCAATAAGTTGGTTTTTCTTTTTCCCCTACTCTCGTTTATTATATTCCAGGATTCTTTCATTACATTATTACTTTTTAAAATACGATCATTATTTTTTCTTCTCAAATATTGTTTTGTTATTTTTTGATACTCTTTTTTTAAATTATTGTAACGTTATGTATAATATGTAGAATTTATTTCTTTCTTTAACCTGTTCATTTCACATAATAGATTAAGTAACTCTTTAATATGAGGTGGAAACTGATTTTTTAAATTTTGTAGTTTTATCGCTTTCTTTGTTTTCATAAATACAATATTGTAGTGGTATAGGAATGATTAATAAAAGATAGAAAATGTATCATTAAAATTAGTAGATGTGTATACTTCACGCCAATTTTCAACTGATAAAATATTTATAAAAGTTATTACGTTAGGATCACTTAAATCTCGTTTATATCTGTATTTAAATTCGTTATTTTCAAAATTAGGCAGTTTAATCGAACATAATAAGTAGTTATGATCAGACAAAAAAAGTATCATATACACCCACCTTATCTACATCAAAATTGGTAAAAAAATTATCTAAACAAGTTGAGGTTGTACTTGTTGTTCTTGTTGCAACATTTATATGATGTTTAATATTAAATTCCTTCAATAAGTCAATTAAAACAGTTTTTTGATTACCTTCAATCAAAAAATCTACGTTAATATCACCACAGATAAAATAGTGATTGTCGTTTTGATAAATATTATGAATTAATAGCTCTAGCTGATTTATAAAAGTGTTAAACTTAGTACAAGGTGACTTATACACAATAATAATAAATAAAAAAAGTTTAGAATCGATCTTTATTTTTCCACCACATACTTCAAATTCACCTTCTATACACCACCTATGTAAATTAATTGATTCAAAATTTGCAGCAATACTTGTTTTCATAAAGATACTAGCACCACCTTTTTCTTTATTTATCCGTGAAAAATATGATACTAGCTTAAAATCGTCAATTGAGGTAGCTTGTAAATTGTTAGAATCAAGCCAATGTTCAAATCAAGCCAATATTCTAAATAAAATAAACTTATTACTATTTTTTTTTTTTTTTTTATTTAAAACAAATGACATTTTCCATTTTCAGCATACAGGGTGTTTTTTAATATTGCGAAAAAATTCAGAGGCGTGTCCCTTGGACGAAATGAAGCAAAGAAGTTCCTATGAACATATGTCCTACGCCTCTTAGATTTTGAACTACAGGGTGGTTATTTTTTGCGATACATTTAATACCCTTGTAGATATTTTTCTGAAAATTGGTACGCAGTTTCTATGCATACAGGGGTATTAAATATATCGAAAAAAATAAATTTTTTTCTTATAACTTTACCACCATGTAGTTCAAAATCTAA